CACTGGCGCCACGGTTCCAGTCTCGCGTCTTTCATCAGCACAAGTTCTCCGTTTCATAGGCGGCTTCAAAATGAAGACTCATTTCAGTATCGAAACTGGGTGGAAAAAGTTGTGCTGCGTAAACCCAGGAAGGCAGGCGATTTGAATGTTGACGTTTAGCGTTTTAGTTCTGCGCAACGAAAAGGACAAATTGGGCACTTTCTGCTGCGGAGCGCTGAGAACTGGGGCGGTGCTGTGCAGCCGTGGGTCTCCCGGGTGGGTCGCAGGGGTGGTCCTGCAGTTATTCCCCGCGGGCAGGGGGACACGTGCGTTGTCAGAATGAATAGTAGAGCTGGGGGTTGGCCTGGGGCAGAGGGGTGGTAGTTCCATTGGAGCCACACACTGCGTCTCGCCAGGCCCGGGCTCATCCATCGTGAGAAGCTGGTCCGTCACGAGGCCTGCAGGTGGGGTTTCTGTTCATACAGGACGGGTGCAACTCGCTCCAGGTACAGCAGCAGTGCCGGCACGAGGGCCTCGAACCCGGAGCCAGCTAGTCACGAGGGCAGAGACTTACCTGTTGCACTGGAGGGGTGGCGAACGCTGGCCTCCCCCGACCTTCCCGTAGCGCAGTTTTGGTGCAGCTGCTTGCTTAATGCGGTCGTTGGTCCCTGAATTGGTTAGCAGTTAATGAAGTGCTCAACGGGCCGATTGTGTGAGTCCCACAGCAGAGCGGCGTCCGGAGGGACTCTCGAGGAGCTTGTGGTTTGTTTTTGGAACGCGCGCAGATGCGTGCGCGGCTCTGTTTGTATTCGAAAATGCGGCAAACAGGTTATGGAGGCTCGGCGCCTTGTTGAGCACAAGCGGGAGGCAGATCCCGACGGGCCGAGGGCTGGACCACGCCTCTTCCTGTCTCTGGCAGAGTCGCCTCCCAGAGACAACCTGTCTCGTGAAGCGAAAGAAAGAAAACCGCGGCTCGCGCCTGCAGTGTGCTGTAGAGCTCAGCTATCCCTGGAAGGTCCACTGAACGTTCTGAAAAACTGCCATTGTGGGGGAGGCCCAGTCTCCATTAAATCGCACTGATCGCAGTCTGGGCACACGGGCTGCAGGCAGAGACTGATTAGGAATGGCAGCAGTGTCTTCAGGTCATATTGTAAGCGTGCTTAAGGCTATAATGAGATGTGGGTCAGTGTGGAGCGAGAGTCCTCATCCCCTCGCTGATGTCTGGGAGGTGGTGGTGTGCATTGCCCTGGAGTTTATCTGTGCATGGGGGGGCGAGAGAGACGGCAAGAGTGGAATGACCTCAAACACAAGGCTGGCCCGGCACCCAGCAGAGTCCAGCCGGCCAACAGCACGCGCCGTAATAGTTTCATGTCCAGCCGACCAATTGGCATGCAGGGCTGACCGCAGGTCGGCGGTCTTGTTTGGGTTTTGCTGTCCCAGTGTGAGGTGGGCTTTGTGCGTTCGCACAGTTCAGCGAATAGGAGCAGCTTAAGTAACGCCAGCTCCATCAGGACACAGACTGCGGGCTAGAGCACATGAGCTGTGTTTAATCTCCGCGCAGGTACAGCGCAGCAGCCGTCAGATCTTTGTCCGATAGAGGAGCCCTGCCAGTTTTCTTGAGTCAGTGCTCCCGGCTGATGGGACTTTACCTAACCAGGCTCTGACACCTGTGAATCCTGTGGCCTTTTGGAAAGGACAAAATGAGTAGTAATATTGATTTAGTCAAGGGGTGGGAAGGTATGATTTAATTCTACACTCCTGCTGAAAGTCTGCAGAATAGACTATGTAGTGTAATAAAAGTCACATTTGATTAAATTTAGGGGAAAATGCGAGAAGATAATCTGAAGTATCCCTGTATGTTGACTCTTGCCAAAGCTTCTTTCAGGTCCGTTAGATCAGTACCAGCAAGCCCTCTGCCGGTTCTTGTTACAACATGGAAAAGATTTTCTGTCTTCGGCATCTCTTGGGTGTGAGCTCCCAGGAGTGCACCTGGTGCAGCTAGCCTCCTTGAGCCCGCTGCTTCCTCCATATCCGCTCGGATGTCTCCGCTGGCAGCTCGGATCGGTGCTCCAGTCCCTTCCTGCAAGCCCGGGCGAGCGAGTGGTCCTGGGTGTGGTTTGGGGCCGTGGCAGGTGTTGCTGCGGTTCTGTTTCCTGCCATGACAGGACTGCCATCGTGTTGGGGCGCTCGGAGCTGTGACTGCCTGCCTGCAGGCCTCTAGGTCTCCTTCATCGTGTGCAGGCGACACCTGGCGCTCGTGCGCAGCTTCTTGACTCTTCAGACCAGAGGATGTGGTCAGAGAACTTGTTTGGCTTGTCTGTGTACACTGTGGCATCCTGTGCACGTTTAGTTTCGCGAATTTTCTTGAAGAGTAGGTCTTGGCATGGGTTAGTGCCTTTATTCTTTTTTTTTTGTACAATCCCGAACACGTTGCGGATGTTGCACCGATTGCTCTGTAGCTCCTGCGCCGTTTCTCTCGAGCGAAGCAGCACGCCCCTGTGATGTGTTTTTCTAAATATGGGACATGGTTTTCCTCGCTGGAGTTTTTTTCCCCTAAATAAGCGATGGGGCCGTGACTCTCTGAATCCCCTTCGGTGCAAGGCCTCTTTTTGGAGGTGCCGGTGGGGTTTTCCCTCCCAGCTGCAGGCCAGTGTGGGGGGCTTTTCCCTGCGCAGCGGGGGTGGGAGCTGGCGGGGACTGGGCAGGGCTGCGCGAGAGAGACAGGTGGGGAATCCCCATGTGGTTTTCTTGCACACTTGTGTACGATTGTGCTGGATACTCTGTGCAGTGGGGGCATCCCTTCCCATTGGCTTGCACTTACCTTAGGCTTTATGTCAAAAGGCTCTTTTTCTGGTACCAAAGTATTTACTCTAGCCTATAAAAAAAATAAAGTTGGTCTTTGGGGTTTCAGAAATGTAAAAGATGCCTCGTAGAATATTTCTTTTCTGTTGCTGGTATTGAAGTATGCAGCATGTTTGGATATTTACAGAGGAACATAAGGCTTGCAAGCGAGGAGGCCATTCAGCCTGTCTTGCTTGTCCAGTTAAATGAGCTTATCACCCATGAGGACACGCCTGTCTGCAGGATTCTTTTATTTGCACTTTGAACGTTAGGCCCAGAATTATTCCATCCCTGCACGCTGCCGTGCACGGGGGAACGAGGAAACAGCCAGACCCATTTTTATCGGCTCTTTTTTGTTGTCGGTTGTCGTTATTTTGGTTGGAAACACAGATACTGTAAACAGACCAGGTTTGGCGAGTGGCCACATCACCTGGGACAGGGCAGAGAAGGGGGGAATGAGACCCAAGTAACAGGGGGACGCCGCCTGGATTCGGCGATTCTATTTAGTGGCTGAGCTGGTGAAAGAAGATGATCGGAGCTAGGGGCCGAGTCGCCGGCCCGGTCTCTTCCTGACACGGCTGGAAAGACTTATATAACACGCAGACAGGCGGAACTGCAGCCAGCTCTGAAACCCGATTCCCCTGTCGCTCATGTGCTCGCTGGTGGGAGGAGGTCTGAGAGAGAGAGAGACGTTGCCACTCTTTTCCTCTCCCAGACGGCAGGCCTGTCTGCGGAGCTCCCTGGAGGGGGAGGAGAGGCGGGGTTAAAGGTGAACAGGAAGCCGGCTCCAGGAACAGGGGGCGGAGCCGTGGGGGGAGGGCGAGAGGGGGTTGTGAAGGGAGGGGGGGGGGGGGCTGTTCTTGGATCAGAAACCGCCACTGAAGAGCATATGGGATTTTGGCCAGCCTCAACTACACAGTAGGTCTGACAAATAACCATTCTTTTGGGAGCTGTTTTTTTTTTTCCTTCTCTTGCTCTTTCCAAGGGGGCCTGAGAGTTCAGCGTCTGGCTCTGCTGATCGGTTGTCACGCTGGAATTTCATGCTTGCGGGTTGTGACGCAATCAGCACTCCATGAGCTCGAGGCCTGCCGCCCATTAACCTTTTGCTTACAGGAGAAAGTTCTCCCCGCCTGGCTTGCCGTAAGAGGGAAACCACGAAGCCGTCTTTTGTCTGGCTCCATGGTTTCTCCGAGCAGGGACCTGAAACCGTGTGTCTAAGAGGGGCAGAAACAGCAGACCTGAGATGGGACTGCTGGTGGACCCTTGTGCTGCTCTGGGGATATTTTCATTTTGTTTTGCTTGCGTTATGAACGGATGCCTCGAAGGCTTTCACAGCTTCTCTTTTCCGGGAATAAAGCTGGTTCACGTGTGTGATCCGGGTTGATGGTTTTGTGTTTGAGAGAGAGTAGGTAATTTTTTTTTTTGTTGGTGTTGAGGGTGCAGGCAGTTTTAGCAAGAGAACCCGCGGGCTGACAGGTTCCTCTGGTAACCAGCAGGTTACAAAAGCTGATCTGTTTCTCTGGCTCTTGGGCTGTAACCTGTCGGCTTGCTCTGTGAAAGCAAGCTATTGACATCGCACATCATTTGGTGTGCTACAGTAGCCAAGGCCCAGATCATTTCTTCTGCACACAGCTGGGCATATGTCATGACTAGTTCAGGGAATTCGAGTAAAGTAACCCTTCTAGAATATTAAAAAAAGTTAAAAACCTACATCGAGGCTAAATGACACTTTCCATGCAGGATTGACTTTAAGAATCGAAACAAATAAAGGAACTTCACCATTCCACTCGTCTTAGAAATCAGAAACAGTTTTCAGGGTCTCATGCTAATGTGGTACCGTCAGTATGACGGAGTGGGTCCCTAGGTGGAGATTGTAAAGGATGTTTTATATTGTAACGAGATGTTGCCGTTTTCCTAGTTGTTATGACCTCATTAAACAGTTAGTTAATGAAAACAAAGCTTTTCTTGATTTAAATGTTGTATTCAGGAGAACTTTCGGACTTGTGTTGACATTAAAATAACCAAAGGCAAGACTGGGCCGCAGGTCCTTGTCTGCTGTAGAACTGGCAGGCGTGTGGGTGTAAGTGGGTATGCATGTGGTTTTAGGGATTTGTTGGGATGCCTTGGGATTTTCCTTGTCCCAGGGAGTGAAAAGTGAGTTTGAGCATGAGTTGTTTTGGAAGTGCTCATTTTTGTTGTGAACTGTAGTTTTACTTTATTCCTCGTTGCTGCTAGATTTTGATGGTGAAATATCCTGCAGTCTGTCAAACGACGCATATCCGAGCCCCTGTGGACCGTTTGAATGTGAGCTTGATCGTGAACCGTGCAGACTGGAGGGCACTGTGCAGAGGGAGAGTTACATGGTCAGCATTTGTAGAGTCGCAGATCCCCGATTTAGAAATACTGCCATCCTGTTTGTTGGCCACTGCCGTTAAAGTGATTTTGAGTGTTGAAGTGAAAGCCTAGTTTCTTTAAAACCTGCACAAAGAAATGACTGGTGTGGAAGATAAGGACTAGGAAATGTCGTCAGGAGAATGTACAGTACAACAGTTACAAATGAGAAGAGGGCTTTCAGCCCATCTCTCTGGTTTGGTTGTTAGTAGTTGATCCAGCAGTGTCAGGCAGTTGTTTCCTGAAAACTGCCAGGGGTATTGACTTTGACAACATGGCTGGGCAGCACGTTCCATCCTCCCACAACCCTTTGAGTAAAGAAGTGTCTTCTCCTGTGTCACAAGAACGAGAGAAAACAAGCTCAACGGGGGGACTTGTTCCTTTGGCACATATGTGAAGTTTTAAAAACTGTGCCACAGATTGTTTGAAAATATTACAGTAGGGATATCAAACAATGTTCTGTGCTAGCTTTTTGTTAGTAAACACTTCTTTTTAAGCACCTAAGTAGTTTCTTCTCTTTCACGTTGTGCATCTGCAGTGTGTTTTACTACCTGCGTGTAACTCTCTGTACTTGTTTGTTAAATGTGCAAACAGGAGCGAGGCGACAGTCGTGAGTTTTGTCTTAAGCCTTTTTGAGTTTCCGTTGCTCCTTCTGCAGTGTTTGCCAATTCCCTTATTTTGCGATCATCTGCGAATCTGGCTAGATTACTGACCAGACCAGAACTGAGATCATTGATATTAATTAGGAAGATCATTTCTGATATAATTGACAGCAGTGCAGCTGTGTCATGAAGTCGGTCTGTGGTGAGTGTTTGTGAAGCCTGGTAGCCTTTGGTCTTCTGTGCTTTAGCCTGCTGTTCGACAGTGGTGCTTTTCCAGTGGGGGCCGGGTGTGTGGGTTTTCCACGGTGAGCGGCTTCACTCCTCGTCTCCTGGGCACTGCCGCCCCCCCCGACCGGCAGCTCGCCGGCCTCCCCAGGCACCTGCAGCTGCGCTGGGAGGAAGTGGAAAATCTGAGCGGTCAGGCGAGGAAGGAAGGGAGAAGAGGAGCGGAGGAGGAGGAGGAGGTGGGGGGAGGGAGAGGGAGGGAAGGATAGCAGGAGGACGCCAAACATGGAGATCCACAGCCCTTCTCTCCCCTGAGGTGTCCCAGCAGGGTCTGCAGCGTGCCTCCGGTTTGAACAGAAGGGGTTGTTAATAATGCAGAGTCGGTAACCGCCTGCGATTGTGCCCCCCGCTGTGTGCCTGGTGGAGAAGGCCCGGAGTACTCTACCGGCCTTCAGCAGTCCCTTTCAGTCTTGTCATGTTTTGGGGGGGCTTCACCTTCTCCCCCTCTCGGAGAGGGCTGCTGGCGTGTTTTTGGACAGCAGTTGGCACCCAGCAGGGCCATGTGATCTGGCGCTGCAGGGCCTGTACACACCTCCCATCTCGTGTCTGGTCTGCAACCACAGCAGCCCTGCGCTCTGACGTCGGCCCGCCAGGGGATGGTTTATCACTCGGAACAGAGCTGCGTTCTGTAGCTTAGCACATGAGAGAGGCGACGAGAGGAGGCCATTCGGCCCATCTGGAAAGCAAAGCTGCACGACAGCCTCAAAGGGAGCTTTAGAAACCTCTGGAAGTTCTCCTATTCTCTGTCCCCCCCCCCTTGTGCTTTCGGAAGTGAACTCGCTGTTGTTTCTCACACTGGGTAGGTCTCCTCTGGCATACGCCTCAGCTTTGTGACATCACAGCTTCCCACATCAGAGCCGTTCTGAGGTTAATCTGCTGATGACCTCATCGTGTGCTGCTGAAGAATGCCTCTCTTGAGCTCAGCCTCTCTGCGCCAGAGTTCCCAGAACAGCAGCAAGCATAGCAAGTGTCTGGTCAGACTCCTAAGAATGCACATCGTGTTCCCTGCCGTCAGAATCCCCGGTTAATCTAGCTTTCATAATGGAAACCTTTAGAATTTTGCTGTTGCATCAGAAATGCAGCGTTTTAAAATTCTTTATTAGGCAGCCCAGTTCCAGTTTTCAATGGATGATTATTTTTTTGTACCGTGAAACGCCCGAGCTGTACTTAACCCTTGGAATTTTGGGTGTGGAGAACGAGAGCCGATGCTTTGTGCACGGCGAGCGGCGGTGATGAGCTCCTGCCGTGCAGAGCAGCAGGCTTTGATCATGATCATGTGGGCGAGCTGTGTCTCCACTGACCGCAGTCTGACCCCTTTCTCTCCCTAACCGCTGCCAAATAAAGGCAGTCGCTGGCCCCCCTGACCTGTCCCCGGTCTCTCCAAAGAAATGCCGCCTTCTCAAACCTATCAGGGATGCGAATAGCAGAAGCGCCCCCACCCTTAATTAAATTAAGAAGTCAATTAATTTGATTACAGTGTAGACTTAATACTGCTCCTGCTATTAAGCTGCGGTCCTGAGGAGAGGTTTAAATAGGGCTCGTTGATAACGGTGAACCTCTTTTGAAATAGAAAGTACTAATGAGCCTCATTTCTAGTGCTAATGGCTGAATTTAAAGAATTAACGGGCCAGTTAATGTTCAGAGAACGCTGCATTTATCAACAGCCTAAAAGTGGTACTGTATGCGTGTGGATATATGAAGGCCACTGAGGTTGTCAAGTCTTGTCTGAGAACACTGTATAAATGTTATTTCTCTAAATCTTAAAAAAAGGGTTTTATCTTGAGATGTGTAACTGTATATTTAATGAAATTGCAGGTTAGAAAAAGGTTTCACTGTTGGTGTTCAATTTAAGATTTCTTTTGCAGGGCCTCATGTTTATTTTAAACCTTATGTGATCTGGTTTCAGGCTGTGTGTGTGTCTCTGGGGGCGGGGTGGGCGGTACAGTGCGTTTGTGCTGATCCGGTGCAGGCTTGCAGCGCCGCGTTTCTGCGAAGGCCAGGCCCCGCTGTCTGCGTCCCCTCCCTCGCCCCGAGTTCCTCCTCCTCCTCCCCCTCCTCTGTGGGTGGGCCTGGCAGGGGTGCGAGGCTGTGTCTCGGGGGGCGCCTGCTCTTCTGGGGCCGCGGGGCCCATAACTCCCTGGCACGCCTGAGAAGAGGGTAGACGTCATCAAAGCTTGGGAAAGATGCCCACTGCCCAGCCTCTCCCTGCCACCAGCAGACGGCAAGCAGGGGGGGTGGCGTTTCCCAGGGCGCTCGCCCGCGGCGCACACCGGAGACGTCACCACGCGAGTCGGGAGATCGGCCAGGGGCGCCACCTTGCTCGCGAGCTGCTCGTCACATTAGCTGGCTGTCCTGCCTGGGCCAGATTTACTGGATCTGCAAGGAGGCTCGCTGAAACTCGTGTTCAGCTTGATACAGAGGACATTAACCAAAATAGAACTCAACACTGGAACTGTCTTGAGTTCCCCCGATGACTACTGCTACCCGCTGGCTGTCGGGTGTAAATGTTAGCTTTTCTCCTGTAGCTTTGCTGAAGCCTCTTATGTTGAGTTGAGCATCAGCGTCAAGAAGCATCCCCAGGTCCATGCGTTGAGACTGCTGTCTTGTGTGTACCTGGCAGTGCATTTAATACCAATGACATGAGGCACTTATTTACACAAAGGGGTGTGGGAGTGTGGTGCACATTGGCTGCTAACTACCAAATGGGCTGGATGGGCCGAATGACCTTTGTAACCGTTCTTGTGTTCTTCCAGGCTTTCAAGATGCCTTCAAACTATCAGTCTGAACTTGATGGGAGAGGGTTCAGTTCGACCAGTTATGGCTGGTTTGGACTTGTTAACCTTTTTCCATCCAGATTTCAAGGACATCTGGCCATTTTTTCAACAACTTAATCCCATTCAGGGGGAGCCGGAACCTTTCCCGGCCAGCAATGGCGTTAGGCAGGGGTACCCTGGGTGGAACGCCAGTCCACCGCAAGGGTCAACCCCTTTTCTGCAGGTCTTAAATAGCTGCTAGGTGGTTTTTCCTTCAAGGCGGAGGGTAATTTAAAAATAACATGAAACTTCATGTGATGGTGTATAGTATTTAAGCTCTTATGCACTCTTAGACATTGTCAGTTCAGGTCGGTGATGACAGAGTCCGGTCTAGCCCCTCTCCTCCTGTCTCTTGCTGCTCAGGATTGTCCTTGAATGCAGCTCAGCTGCTCAGCGCAGGCTGTAGCCTGTCGTTCTCGATTCTGTAAATAACACTTGTGACTCAGTGGCGAGTGCAAATGTGTCCCATTACTGTGCCGTGCCACAGTCGGTGCGTTGCGCTGCTGCGCTCCTTAGAAATGATCTTTTTCTGTTGCTGCGGTGCAGCCTCATGTCAGCCCTTTTCTAAATCCTGGCGGTCATGATCCCAGAGTGCTCTGTGCAGAGGAGGGGAGTGCTGAGCAGGCAGAACCAGGCTTGTGGCTGATTGGACATGAGGCCCCATTTAAGCCTGCTGCTCTTTTTAATCAGCTCAGGAAGCATCACTGAAGATTATGTCCTATTTAATTTGTTCACGGGGCATCTCTTCATCCTTCGCAACTTTTAATTGGTTGAGACACCAAGGCCTAATTCGTTCATCTGATCTTTTACCCTTGCCTCGCAGTGCAGTCATACAGGAAGGTTAAGATCAGGCGGGTGTTTGGTCAGGGAGTATATGCGTCACTGTGCACAGTTCCTGCAAACATCAGGCGTCTGCTAACTGAGGGCTTCCAGGTGGTCTGAACCATGCAGAGTGATGAGCCGTACTCTTCCTCACACCTGGCGCAGATCCCCGGAGCTGTGCTGCTGTTGTCATCACACCGTGATGCAGAAGGCAATGATTCTAAAACTGCTGCTTTCTTTGGAGCATGGTTCGATTAATCAGATGATACTAGTTTCTCTAGACATTTTTTTGCAAAGTTATTCTCTGGGGGAAGGGGGGCTTGTTTCAGCCTTTCAGTAAAAGTTTTTTTTTTAAATAGTAGTGCTTGGTTTTTTTGTGCTGTCTCCTTTGGTAGGAAATGTTTTATTTTCCTTTCTCTTGTGGATTTGAGAAGCTCGCTCTGTCCGGGTGCCTCAGGGAAGGGAAGTAGTAGTCTAGTTGCAGATCAGTAATCGATCCAGAGTCCATCCCACTCCACCAGGGTGACGATCCTCGTCCCTCGTCCCACGTCCCAGCTGGGATGCCACTGAGCTTTACAGCCCATTCAGGGTTTCACTTCTTTGTTGTTTTTTCTAGAAGTAAAAATAGTAAAAAACAGTGAGGGGGAGGGGGTGACAAAAAGAGGAAGGGATGTACGTTCCTGAGTAAAACTGAATTAGATTAGACGACCAGGAAGCACCTGATGTACCTGATGGAGTCTAAAAAAACTGCTAACCTAGATTTCAAGGACGTTTCTTCTGTGGCACAGTTAGCCTTTTCTTTCCTGTCAGTTTTTTTTTTCTACGCGCGCAGGAGCTGACAGGGACGCAGTGTACATTTCCAAACAGAATACAGCGTAGGGAAGATAATATGGAGGGGCGATGCTGAGCTTTGGAGATCAAGGAGGGTGTTTGGGAGGGGGAGCAGGATGAGGTTGGGGTAGAGGAGAAAGAGGAAGAAGGGTTTGATCCAGGAGGAAAGAAAAGGACAATGTACATAACGGGGCTGGTAATTAATAGCTCTGAAAGTGGCACCTGCGTTGTGTGTGTATTGAAGGAACACACACTCCTCTCAGCCTTGAAGAGAGCACATTTGCATTTTAACTGTTCTGTTACCAAGGAACTGCGGTGCAGTACAGAACCGTGCCATGTGACCAGCCAAGCATGTGCACAACTGCCTGGCTGCGCTGCTCGCTCTTAGTGTTTTTTAGCTGCTGCGTGATGCTCATCGTAGCGTCTTATTTTCAGGCAGGATCTGGAGAGGAGAGGGAAGGCAGGGAGGCCGGAGAGCCCACTGTCCTCTGAATCAGCCTGTCTCTAGGGGCAGGCTTGCATGTTAGCTTCCTCACCCAGGGTGTTTCTGAAAGGAAACGGAGAACTGTTTAAAAATGCAACACAAAAACATTTTACAAAACCGGAGCTGGACAAGTGGCGTGTGTTAGACTAAAGCAGGATGATTTTTGCTCTAGTTTGATGAACGTTAAAAGGTGATTTGTGATCTTTTTATTTTCTTGAATGGTGATGGGCTAACGGATGTGCTCATTTCACCAGAAATTCGTCACTGTTCCTGAATTGTAGGTGCAGGGAGGTGGAGGTCGGGCTCCTGGATTGGGCATTATTTATTTGGCATGCGTAATTATTTCAGTTAGGAAAGCGCAGTCTGGAAGGCGTGACCTGATCCTTTTCCAGTGGTCCAAATTCCAAGGACTGGACAGGCTAAGCACTTAAAGGGACAGCGTGTACATTATCTGCCACCTGGAGCACTGGAACGGGGAGCACAACACCTGTCTGTCCTCAGCTTCACTCATCAAGCCCGTTGGATAGTAGTTGGTTAATCCAGGCGTCCCATCCACCTATTTCTTGAAAGAAATGGGATTCTGGCTTCGACAGCATGACGTGTTCTTGTTCCACAGCTGCTACAGCCCTTGCACTTTATACAGCTGGCTATGTTGCTAAGCAATGTGGAACAGCAGTGTGTCACCTGGGAATCGAACTGTCAGCCTTCCCGTGGCCAGTCCAGAGCCCTGACCACTGCTCCACGCTGCTGCCAGCGAATCTTATGACGGACGGGGTTGCTTTGTTGATGTGAAATGGAAAACGTTTCTCATGCAGTGACACTCGGAAGTGCAGCAGTGTAGGAGAACAGAGGAAGATTCCCATGGTCCTGAGAAGGTGAAGACCCTGCGGCTCTGATAGAGCCGTTTTTGCTCTCACCGCTGCCCTGCGTGTAACTGAATTTTTCCGTTTCCTTCGCTGTGAGGCGGATGGATGATTTTAAGATTTCTCCTAAATCGCATTAGGGACAGGAAGCATTGTGTTTGGGTGGAGAGTCTCCCTTATTTTTGTGTTTATTTTAATGTAATTCCACATGGTGGGTGACTCTTCAGTTGTGCATCCATTACGAGCTTACAGTTTCCAGATGGTCATGGTGTAACATAGAGCTCAGCAGACAGGAAAAAATCCAGGAACGGTCAAACGTCCAAAGCATTTATGAATCTGACTAGATGTCGGTGACGATCCGGGTTTGCGTGTTGTTTTACAGTAAGGGGAGGGCTACCCCTGTGTAGACCGCGTTTTTTTCCCCATCACTTGCAGTTTTTTTTCTGGTTGTTTTTAAGGGTTCAAATTAGCGTGTACCTCAGTAAGGCGCCCTTGTTGGCATGGCAGGTATGGCCTGTGCGTTCTGCACGAGGAGACGTGTGGCTGTAAAGAAGTAATGAGCCAGCCTGGCGCACTCGTCACGGCCGCCCCTTACCAGCAGGGGGCGGCGGCGGGCCGGTGTGCGGCAGGGCACCAGGTCCTCCTGTCGTGTTCCTCTGGGCTCCAGTTTCCGTGTCCTGGGACTGTTTCGTACTGCCCTTCCCAAGATGGCTTCCCCACTCCATCGCTCTGCCCTGCCAGGAGCAGCCTCGGTCCTCTCCACTCTGTCCACGCGAGCTTTCACACACAGACAGGCTGCAGTCTCTCGGTTTTCCTGTTGTCTGGAGTACGTGGTAAATTTGTTCAACTACGTGTTCATCGTATATATATATACCTTTCATGCCCATTTTTGTATGTCCGTGAAGATCTGTCTTTTAAAGGAACACACTGGCTGTGGAAAGTCAGCGTTTTTATTCTGGTTTTTAGCATTTCTTTTTTTTTTGTATTTTTAACAAACAGCCAAGGTCATTTGGTGTTTGCTTTCCAGAAACACGTATAGCAGGCGGCCAGTGGGTTTAGGAGGCCGGTCTGGAACAGGGGCTCCTCTCTGTCCCCCTGGCCGGGGTCACTGCCCTCTGACCTCTGACCTCAGCGAGTGATATTCTGAAAGCTCTCTGGCACTGAGCACTTTGCAGAGGCTGTTTCTGATGACACCCCTGCAGCCCCCCTTAAAAAAAAAAGCAAATTTCTCATCCAGAAATGATCCAATAGTTAGGTAATTTGTTGAATGAAACTTGTTTTCTCTAGGTTGGAGGTTAACCTGCCCCCACCTTAACTTGCCTGGTTTCCCTGCAGAGTTAAGATCGGCTATGCATGGCTTTGTTTAGTTGTCCTTTCATTTGCTGGTTACCTGTTTTGTTCATTGCTTAAAGTTTCTGTAGCTTCAAATAGTGATTACTATTACGAGGTTTTTCCATCAGTGGTATTTTTTTTAAATACAGGTAATTATATCTCCTGAATAAAAAGTCATGGGAATAAAATAGGTGACGAACAGATAGGTAGATTTTTAATCCTGTGGCTTTCCAGAGGTTTGGCGTTTTAACGGCTTCAGTTCAGTTGTTTTAGAGTACTGGATATACTGGAATACTGTAGCTCCGTTCAGAAGTGCGCAAGGTGAAGTGGTACGGACGAATGCAGAGAGGATCCGGTCCAGTTCATCCCAGGGTGTATTAGCTTGTCAGTTTCGGAACATTTAGTCCTTTTGGGGTTAAGTTGCACGGTCTAATGGAATAATAACTGTTAGCTCCATCTGCTGGCTTAATTCCACACACAACGAAAGAGAGAGAGAGAGCGAGCTAGAGAGAGTGAAAAACGAGTCAGGATTTTAACGACATCTCTAATGTTCATGCTGATGCATTTTGATGCTTTGTGCTTTCATTTTACATCGCTTTCGTGGAGGCTGACTGGCTGTGCAGGCTCTCCGGCGCGCGAGAGGGGAGGAGATAGAGGGAGGAAAAAAGTAACAACACAAAACCCTTTTGTGTACAAAGAAGGAGTAGCCTACCTTAGCCGGGGATGTGAGCGAGCCGAGAGCCGGGAGCCGAGCCCCAGTGAATCAATGAGAAGGGAGGAGAGAGGAAGAGCGAGCGACAGACGGGAGCCTTTGACAGAAGAGGCAGAAGGCGAGCTTTCCCAGCTGCCATGCACCCTCTCCGAGCAGCCTAGATACAGAGGCAGTTAGGCAGTCGCCTCCTAATGCTCTCCTCTTGAGCCCAGCCTGGGGGTGGGGGCGGGGGGCAGAAGAGGGGGTCGGCGCTGCTGCTGCTGCTGGTGGTGGCGGCGGCGGCGGCGGCGGCGGTGGTGTTGGTGGTGGTAGCAGGG